AATAATGGCTCAATAGACTTTTCCAACTTCTTGTCTCAATCATCCCAAGGTCTCAGTGCTGGAGTTGGGTCACAGTTTACTGGAAGGGTTGTGTAGTGACTTGTGCTATGGACAATTTACATCTCCCCCACATGCATCATTTGTGCTTTATGCAAATTCAATACAACTTGTCATCTGTGCATAGATTTGTACTTCATGTCTTTAATAATATTCCTTCTTTCTCACATCAAATGGCTGCCTTCCAATACTTTCTATTTATTTTAAAATTACTTCCATAACCTACTCAGCTTATTTGCATAAATAATCTGTCCAGGGAGCTGTGGATTTCTTCACCTTACCCCATCTCAACTATGGGACAGCTCTCAACCTGGCCTTCCTATAATTTTATTTTAAAATTACTTCCATATCCTACTCAGCTTATTTGCATAAATAATCTGTCCAGGGTGCTGTGGATTTCTTCAACACCTTACCCCATGTCAACTATGGGACAGCTCTCAACCTGGCCTATAGCTTCAAGTCCCTGCACAATTTCCTGTCCAGGTAGGTTAACTGTTCAGCAAAAGGTACATTATGTCTGACTGCGTGTGGTAGTTACAACCGGGAGAGCCTGAAACAGTTAGGCAAGATGAGTACACCGCGGGCATACAGCCTCTACAAGTTCCTGCAATGTTCCGCGGTTATCTTATAGTCATTCCACTTGTTTGTAAATAGTTGTTGTTGTTGTTTTATATCAGAGGAGAATTATAATTTATTTTTGTATATATCTTCTTTTTTTATAAAGAGAATGTTTATAATAACACACAATTGTTAGACTCCAAAGTTGTCAGAAAATACTTTTTTTTTTATTTACATATGTAAAAATTACAATGGAAGAGGGAGGAATAATGTACATGAATTGATTGATAACAGTAGATTGTGACACATATTTGTGTATAAATTGAAGGTATTTTTTCAATGAGGAACTTAATAGATAAAAAAAAAACATTCTATTTACATATTGGATCAATTGCATATAAATTATAATTGATACTTGAGGTATCAGCTTATTATTATTCGATTTCAGTTACTAATTATTGGGAATGAGGATTTTAATTCACAATGAGAGAGTAAAGTCCACTAGGTATAAAGTAAAGAAAACTAATAAAGCACAATTTGGATTATAGATTATAATACAAGAAAATAAGATCTAATCCAAATAATTTATTAGTGTCTAAAATAAAAAAAAAAATATTTGGATTAGGTATAATTTTATTGTATTATAATACACACTAATAAATTATTTGGATTAGGTCTTATTTTCTTGTAAAGAAAACCAGGAATTTTTCTTGTAATATATCTTTTGTGTTTCATCACTTTATTTTAACAGTTTCAATATTTGTGCTTTTCTTGGAGAATTATTACTGAATTTCCAATGAAATATTTTACTGACACTTAAATTTCCTTCTTTTCTATAGGAATGTGTGAAAAAATGAAGTGTAAAAATAAATCAATTTACTCTCTATGTTGTGAGTGTATAAAGGTCATGGACAAAACTTAAGGAAGTTATACCTTTTAACATGTATATCAGGATTCAGACAATAACTCTGAAGACACATGAGATAACCAAATGTAAACAAAATTGACTTTGTTTCCTTCAAACAAACAGACAACACACAACAGCAAAGACTTTCCACTTAGGTTTTGTCCATGAGTATATATTTACAGATAACAAAAATACACAGTGTTCAGTTACTCAAACTTTCAACTTCTTTTTTTTTTCTGGAGACTCAAATGGAGTTTGTTATAAAGCAGCACATATAAGAATACAGAGAGGTTCAACCTATGTGGATATAGGATAAAATACTAACTGGGAACTTTGACTAACTGGGAATTTGATGGTAAATGTTTATAAAAACACAAGGTAAAATAAGATCAAATCCAAATAGTGTGCGATGTTTTGGTAACAACGCTGTTACCATCATCAGACAAAAATACTGATTTAGAACAGGCCATCTCAAGCCATTGAAGATAGAAAATAACAACAAAATCTACCCCACTTGCCTAAAGTGTAGCTTGGTACCTGCAGCTCCAGAACAATTTTGAATTGCATTAGATGCACTAAACAGGACCTTTGGGAGAGGCCACTGCTTATCATAAAACACAGCTCGAGGAGCATGAACTCATGGAATTAGTGTAATCTTTGCATAAGGGGATATGAAACAAAAACTAAAAGGTAACAACACTTACAGAAACCTCAAACACTATTTATTTATTTGGTCTATTAGCTTGTGTTTCTAATCTATAATCCAATTATTGTATCTTATCGGTTAAAGGGTTATTTAATTGCAGTTAATATTTCAAAAATTTTCATCATATGTAAATGTAAATCATATGTAAATGTAATATCATATGTAAATCGTATGTAAGTCTTATCAACTTGTGTTTCTAATCATATTTATCCACATAGCGACTTCCAAATTTCTATATTTCAGCCTAAATTTTGAATTTAATGATTGGATTTAATTTTATTGGGCTAATGTTTAAAATATTTACGGGCCGAAGTATCTTTAATTTTAAGAACTATGAATTCCAGCCAGGCAAGCCTCTATCTTTACAATACTGTTGTGTGTTAATACAATGGTGAAGATCTCCAAAAATGGTTAAAAGGGTATAAACGTGTGGCAAGGTACAACCATTGGGATGAAACCCTTTGTCTTACTAAAGTTTATTTTTGTGGTCTGGAACTGCTCTTAAATGGTTTGGTTGGTTTGTTAATAATTGTCAACTAGTCGCCATGACGTTATCAATTTATCAATAATTACTTTTTTTTGCTTATCCCTAGTACACGTGGAACAGGCCATGATAATCATGGTGGGTAGAAGGCGACTGCTTTTACTGTAAGTGCATCACATGTCTACACACGTGAAAGGCAGTTCGACTTTGCACTTACAAATAAATATGCCAGAGCCCCGTTTGGAAAATAAATACTTTCATACCTTCAGATATAAAGATTTGATTTCTATGCTACAACTGTTTTTTTTTTTTTCATAAAAATTAAAAATAAAATCAACTTGTTAATTAGGTCTACCTTTAGAAAGAAGCAAATATAAGTCTCAATTATCAGTAGTCCCAATTATCTCAGAAGTTTTATGATAATATACAGTAAACCCATGGTAAAATGAACCAGCGAACCTTCGCTTATAACGAACCTGAAAAAAATCCCCATTTTTATTTATAATACAGTGAACTAAACACAAGGTAATAAGACCAATTCCAAATAAATAAATAGTGTGTGATGTTCCGGTAACAGCGTTGTTACTGAAATGTCACACACTATTTATTTGGTTATATTACCTTGTTTTTATAATCTATAATCCAAATTGTGCCTTATCAATACAGTGAACTATGGCTATAATGAACCATGACTATAGTGAACCACAGGTTCAGTCCCATAGTTTTTACTGTAGTTATATTTGTGTGAAATTGAAGAACAATTTAAAATACACATTTCTCACTGGCTCTATCTATAAAGTCTCCCTCAATTTTATGAGAATGATTTCACCAAAATCTAATGATAAATATGATAAAAGGTACAATATGGAGTATTTGATTAGAAACACAAGGTGAACAAATCCAAATAAATAGAGTGACATTTGGGTAACAGAGTTGTTACTAAATGTATATTTGATGATGGTAACAAAGCCATTACTAAAATGTCACACACTATTTATTTTTGAATTTGGTCTTATTACCTGTGTTTTTAATGACAAATAGTTTTTTTTATTAGAGTAGATACCTTTTTTTTTACGTAGAGTAAAAGTTGACTTGGGAGCTTCCATTAAGTGTTTCAAGCAAAAAATACATTTGCAAAACAGGTTGAATAAAATTAATTAAAATAAAACTATTCTTTCTTATGCAAATTCAAATATAATGCTCTTAATGAAGGATATTTAACATATTTAGCTTAAAATTCGATAAGGCACACAATTTGGATTATAGATTATAATAAATTAATAATTAATAAATAAATATTTATTTGTATTTGTTCGTATTACCTTGTGTTTAGCTTAAAATTTGTTTTATTTTTGAGTGTATGAGTTAAGACAGAGGGTTAGATGCCTAAGAAAACTAATACAAAAACAAAATGGTTCCCAATTAAAAATCAGCTTCTAAGACAGGAAAACCTCCCAATAGGTATCTTCTAAGATAGGTTTTATTTTACATATTGAAAAGTAAAAATATTTCATTTTTGAATAAAAAATAACAAAAATTATGTTTTTAAACAATGGAATATGGGATTATAACAATGGAGTTATCATAAAGATAGAGGTTGCCTGGCCGGCATTCATATTTCTATGAAAAATAGACACTTCGGCCAGTTAGAGTTTTTTATTTTCTCAACATTTCATCAAAAATCTTTTGTCTTCCTCAAGAGAAGTAAAGAAAAATAAAGCATTTGGGTCGGTGGAAGGCTGGTTAAACCGTTTGGTTTTCGACCACTAGGACCCGGGTTCGATCCCCGCATTGGACACTTTTTTTTCTGTTTAAAGAAAAAAAAAAAATGCTCCAATGGCCCCCCGATTCTTGCAAAAGTCCAACCCCACCAGCGAGTGCAAGTAACCAAACGGGGCTCTGGCACATTTGTAAGTGCAAAGTCGAACTGCTTTCACATGTGTAGACATGCGGTGCGCTTACAGTAAAAAAAAGCAGTCGCTAACTACCCACCATGATTATCATGGCCTGTACCACGTGTACTAGGGATGAGCAAAAAAAAAAAAAAAAAAAAACTTCTCTTGACGAAAACAAAAGATTTTTGATGAAATGTTGAGAAAATAAAAAACTCTTTTTTTTTTTTTTTTTTACTGTAAGCGCACCACATGTCTACACATGTGAAAAGCAGTTCGACTTTGCACTTACAAATGTGCCAGAGCCCCGTTTGGTTACTTGCACTCACTGGTGGGGTTGGACTTTTGCAAGAATCGGGGGCCATTGGAGCATTTTTTTTTTTTAACAGAAAAAAGTGTCCAATGCGGGAATCGAACCCGGGTCCTAGTGGTCGATAACCACCGACCCCCTATAAAAAACTCTAACTGGCCAAAGTGTCTATTTTTCATAGAAAAAAACAATAGAGTTACCGAAACATCATACACAATTTATATATTTGGATCATGTTATACAATGTTGAACACAGAGACAATAGAAGTGCACACACAAGTGGTACTTCTGGTTGTCTCCGTGTTGAAGGACATGTTAACCTGAAACCTCAAAGAAATAAAAGAATTGTAAAAAGAAACCAAAACCTAGATTCCTTATTACACGCTTGTTTGGCGGTACATATTATACTAAAATTGGAACAATAGAGAAGATTAGCATGGCCCCTGCGCAAGGATGACGGACAAAATCATGAAGCATTCCTAGATTCCTCTTCTTTCTTATCTCCACTCAATCATAAGGGTATCAAGTTGTGATCCTTGATGGTGTCTGTTTGACAACCATCATGACTGGGTGAAGTAGAATGCATCTGCCTTTGTCATTAAGACTGGGAGCACTACTCAGTGGCAGGCTGACTTAGCTCCAAAAGAAATAGCCGCCTCTGACATGAGGAACAGACGCCATGTACAGCTGCTCCTAACATGGAGTACAAACGCTGTTCTTCCTGTATCCCTGGATTAGGAGCCCTTACAGGGTACTATCAGCCGGGCCAGCTGAACCCAGGTTTTAGCGAGCTTGTTACTGCTCCCCTCTCCCTAGAATCCTTATTGATTCAGTTAAAATATGGGATTAGAAAGATAGAACTATTGGGTGAAACACTCGAGAGATCTTTTAGAATTCACTAATATCCATTAGAGAGAAAAAAATAAATTTTAGTTCAGTAAAATTCCTTTTCTATGTATAGCTTTCTCTATTACAGCCAAGATCATTGTTACCACTTTTTTCAATTTATTGAAAAAATACATTGTTAATTAAGGTCACTTCATTATATTGAAGTCTCAATATTTTTAGTTAGGTAAAATTCCATTTCTATGTATATAGTACACGGTTTTCTTTTTATTACAGCCAAGATTGTGTTACCACTTTTTTCTATCTATTGACAATGAATTCTTTATTAAGTTCATGATAAGGCACAATTTGGATTATAGATTATAAACACTAGATAATAAGACAATCCATAATAAGACCACATACAATCATCATGATAGTAACAACGGTGTTACACAGAAACGTCACTTAATATTTATTTGGATTTGGTCTTATTATCTAGTGTTTATTAAGGTCACTTCATAAGGTATCAATCCTACTGAAGACTTTAATGAAGTGGTTATGTTGTAACATGAGAATAGAAAAAAAAAAAAAAAGGAAATAGTGTGTGAGGTTTTGTTATGACAGTGTTATTACCATCATCATTACAACACTGTTACACTGAAACGTCACATACTATTTATTTGGATTTGGTCTTATTATCTAGTGTTTATTAAGTTCACTTCATTATTAAGGTCTTAAGCCAACTGAAGAATTTTAATGAAGTGTTTATGTGTTGTAACATGAGAGAATAGAAAAGGAAAAATAAATAGTGTGTAATATTTTGGTATAACAGCGTTGTTACCATCATCGTTACAACACTGTTATACGGAAACGTCACATACTATTTATTTGGATTTGGTCTTATTATCTAGTGTTTATCAAGGTCACTTCATAATAATGATCTTAAGCCAACATAATAAAGCCAACTGAAGAATTTAATGAAGTGGTTATGTTGTAACATGAGAGAATATAGAAAAAAAAAATGGAAAAAAAGTAAACACAACCTCATAAATATAACAACATATAATATTGCGTTCCATTACAAAACATATGAGTTACAGAAACAAATAAAAAGGGGACAACAAATAGCAAACAAACAAACAAAAGGAATGGCAGTGTATTATTGCAATCACAACATTTGGCATTTCTCACAAGAGATCAAATATCTCAAGAAAAATCATGGCTTCAAATTTTCAACATTACAAAAAAAAAAACACTTAATAATACTTAAATACATATGTATGAATTACTTTTTCTGATAATTTTTGAAAAAAACTTGGGGTGATATATACTCTCTTAACTTTATAAATTAATAGCATTTTAAAAATAATTATTTTATATTTGAAAAAAATATATATAATTTGCATAGTGCACCTTTCATATGCAACTTTTCCCATTCTTGCTGAATATAATTGGAATAAAATGAGTTGGGAAAAAACGTGGGTGACAAAAAGAGCAAAGAGAAAGATTCAACTTAAGCTGCCCAAGAAATATTGAAAATTTTATATAGATTGTTACTATAAAGTTTTGTAAATTTTATTCATTTAATTTTTTTTTCAAATAGAAGATATTGCAAAAATTTTATGATAGTGGTTAACAATATAAAATTTTTTACTATAAAAAAGTAATATGATTTTTCTTTACATTACATTAGCACAAAGAATATGGATATTGAGTAGATCTCCAATTTGGAATGGATGAAGACAACGATAGTTTTATCTCACATTGAAGTTTTCAACTCTAGTTTCAACATGGATGAGTGAGACACAAATATTCTGTTTAAAAAAAGATGAATTCTCATGCAACATGGGTCAAAAACAAAAGTTTTTTTTTTTTTGAAGGGTAAATGAATATATATAATTTTAAATATGTTCATATAAATATGTTTAACTCCAGATTGTGCATTGATTTTTTTTACCTCTATTCTGATGAAAGAATTGCCTCTTTTGTAAGATTAAATGGAATGGAAGAAGAAAGAGAGGAAGATATTCAATCAGTTAGCTGGAAGGGATAAAGGAAGAGCTACTGGAAGGTCACTAAATGAGCTGCAAGTGATCACTAACAGATCAAATTGAAGAATATTTGTCACCATATAGTTGTCTTGATGGACACTAACAATGACAAGATTCAAATCTCCTGTAGTAACATTTCCATCTATATTTTATCCATTGAATTGGCTGAACCACTTTGATAGTCCTAGAAAAAAATGCTCCAATGGCCCCTGATTCTTGCTAAAGTCCAACCCCACCAGCGAGTGCAAGTAACCAAACGGGGCGGCTCTGGCACATTTGTAAGTGCAAAGTCGAACTGCTTTTCACATGTGTAGATATGTGGTGTACTTACAGTAAAAGCAGTCGGCTACTTCTACCCACCATGATTATCATGGCCTGTACCACGTGTACTAGGGATAAGCAAAAAAAAAAAAACTTTGATAGTAGTTGAAAGTAGCAATTCCAGATATTTCTATGATGGAATAGTCTTGTGATTTGCATAGCATTGTCTATGCAAATTGACACCTCTGCCTATATAGCGCGGCCTTGTTGAATTGTTCAGTAGGCTAGCTGTTAATTGGATAGAGCAGGCTGGCGTGAGCTGCTGATGTACATATAATTTGATCTCTTTGTCCTTCTTTTATTGTTATATACCTTTAAGTAATAAAGGATCTTTCTTCTTCTACAAATCTATAATTTTTTCCCAACAATAGTTAAATACAGTTAAACATGTCTATAGCGCCCCCTCTAAATAGCGCCTTCCTCTATATAGCACCTGATTTTAAACGTTAAAATGTAAACATTTTACATTAAAGGTGACCTGTCTATAGATCCCCTCTCTATAGCACCCTATTTTGGTTAGTCCCAAGAGGGGGTGACAGGTTTAACTGTACATTTTTTGGCTACTTCAGAAAATATGAAACTCTTGTGGATCTCCTGAAATCTAAGCTACCCATAGACTTCTGGTTATGGCCATAGTCTGAAACTAGGGTCTTCCAGGTGGAAATTTCAAAATTTTCTAAAGCTGGTGCTGTGGCTTTGCCGCTAATAGATGGTGTAGTGTTTCTGGATCCATTTTTAACAGACATTTCTTTACTAATGTTTGAAAAATGGGGAAAAATTCAGTTATGAAATGAAGGCGATAAAAACGTGGTGATTTTCTTTTAATGGTAAAAACACAAGCTTTCAGGCAAGAATGCCCTTCTTCAGGTTACAACTGGGCAATATTTTAAAACTATGGACATGAAAGATAGCCCAATACAGTAGGTAAATAGTTCAGCTGGGGGGATTGGCGAGGTAATAGTTGTAAACACAAGAAGGGCATTCTTGCCTGAAAGCTTGTGTTTTTACCATTAAAAGAAAATCACCACGTTTTTATCGCCTTCATTTCAAATATTATTGCGTGGCTACGGTCATGTCTGATCCTAACTTCAAAAATCAGTTATATCCCAGTTTTCCTTATAACTGAACCCCAGAGATTGGGAGCCTTATGTGTTCTAAAAGAATGATCAGAAAGGAAGAAAGTAAAGTAAGTAGACACAATACAGAAGGAATTCCATAATAGCTAACTTCTTCAAAAGAAAAAAAAGATATATCACACATTTACACAATAAAAAAAAGAGGAAAAAACTACTAAACAAATTCAGTATACTTACAACATTTACATTGTTAAAAAAAAAAAAAAAAAATGAATATCTCACTTTTAATTTACATCGATTTATTGCATATCTCTAATTCGGATATTTTCATCAGTTAACTTTAGGCATAGCCAAGTTTTCACAAAATTGTGTCAAGAAAATAGAAAAAACATATATATATACCAAGTAAAATATACAATATACAGTTCAAGTTCTCATTTAATGGGTGTTGAGATTTACAGGGTTTGTTAAATTATCAAAGTGTTTATTGTGCACCTTTACTTTGAAGTTATTTACATATTTACTGTGGAAATTGAAATACTGTGGTTACCAAACACTTCTTTGCACTGTGGTAAATTAGGAGTCAACTATATATATATATATAAAGCAATACTTAAAGTTTAACCACATAAGTTTCTTTTATTTGTGAAAAATCAATTTTTATTTAAAGAGAAATCTAATATTTCTAACTTTTGGATGACGTACGAAAAGGTTGAATATATGAAGAGTGATGGTCTATATATGATTGGATGACGTATGGAAGGGTGAAAATATGAAGAGTAATGGCGATATCCATACGTCATCCAATCAAATATAGACCATCACTCTTCATATATTCAACCTTTTCATACGTCATCCAAAAGTTAGAAATATTAGATTTCTCTT